GTTCTCAGTTATAACCATCCAAGCTCTCACTTTGCAGCATCCGCGTGCATATTTCTCCTTGCTGCGTTTTATCAACGACATGCAAGAAGTTGTAAAAGCTCTCTGGTGTCTTTACGGGAAAATGTTTTAAAGAAGATAGGAAAATATATGAATTTGATTATTAACATTCCATTTCAATTCCAAATTTTTTCATCTTTTTTCTATTAGCTAAAACTATAACTATAGCTTATCTCATGAGTTTGCAACTAACAACATTATAACAATATAAAGTAATTAATAACGTTAATGTTATAAAGTAGCATTGTAAAATAATTAATTGCATAATAATTATATATATTAAATTAATTTTTCAGTTCTATTATTGTACATAATGCTCATTATTATTTAGTTGCAATTTGCTCTTTGCTTGTATTGTAGCTCTTCATTGATTTATTTATAATTTAAAATATATAAAAAAATATCTACAATATATATATATATATATATATATATATATATATATTTTATAGAAAACTATTTTATATATTATAATTTTAATAAGAAGATCACTTGTGATTTTAATCAAATGTTTCTCTAAACAATTTTAAAAGATGTCTCGAGTATCTCTATCTATTTCTTTTAAGCTTTTAAAGCAATTGTTTAATTTTCTGTTATACAGACGCCATCGTTATTTTTAAATATCTCTTAACGAAACGTCATGAAAGCTAAATCCGGTGCGTAGCGAGAATCCATCTCCTTTTTTTTTCAAGAGGCTTCAAGTTGCGTAGCAATAAATATCGAGCTCTATTGCGACGCAAAGGCAAAAGGAGCACAAAGCGGATATAAAAGAAAGAGGAATGGTACGCTCGATTAAAAGCATTCACGCCATCGTTTGCAGCCGCTATTGCTCCGCCTGGAATATTCAAAGAAGCCGTTAAATCCCTTTCTCCGTTCAGTCTAGGCAGACTGTTCTGCCCTGCATCTTCGTTCAAACATTTAAATATATACGAGTGTTTTAATCCATGAACGCTCTGCGTGCCCAAGGCAAATTATTAAGATAGATATGTTATTAACGAGTTATATATAATCTCAATGAGTTATATTCCCGCACCTTCAGGCAAAGCCTTTTTTGCCATTTTTGCCATGTTTAACAACTGTTTCCGTCTATTATTATTGATAATACAAAAAGCACCAAGTTGCAGACATATTTTCTCATGTTATAGAACTTTCTTATTTAGAAAATATGTAATTCAAACTATTCCAAATAATATTATTATTTTGTAAGAACAAATACAATTAAAAATAATTTTTTGTTTCTTCTCTTTAATTACTTCTTTATAATTAGTCATTTAACCGATATATGTATATAAGCTCGAAATCTAATATATCTGATGTTTCATCTAAAGCGTAAACATGTTATAAGTCTAAATTTAGTCATCAAGTGTCATCAAATGTGCCTTGTGTTGTTCACTTAGGTGGACATCATTTTACACTGTTTCCGCGAAAAGATTGAAGAAGTACGTTTGGGATGATGAATCAACAGGGAGAAAGTCTTCATTTATCACGAACGAGCATATTGCTTATGTTTGTAGACAAATGAAAAAAGTACGAAGAAAGTGACGTGAGAGGAATACTAAAAATGATCGCTGAATGCATATAGAGACTTTATTACATGCCAGCATGACGCTACTTACACCGCAAAGAAAAATTCTTAAATATAATGACTTTAGACTCCCCGCTGTACTTAATTGATGTCATATATTAAATTCTATTGTGCATACACGATTTTTTATTGCATTTGGAATGTTTACTTATCTCGTCATTCTGCTTTAAAAAGAAAATTATCTTTATAAAGTTCTACGTAGAATATACATAAATTGTATATTGTTATAAAAAGTTAAAAATTTAATTTAAAAAATATTAAAATATTTGACGTAAAATAAATGAGAAGATAAGAAAATAAGATAGTCGATTTACAAAGAGACTCAATTATAAAGAATCAAATTAAGTTTTATTTTCTCAATACACATTATTACGCAATTTATTTGTTTCTTTATTTAAAATTTTAAGACGTTCGAATTATTTTATTTTTAATCTTTTTTACTGCAAAACATTCTTTTTTTATTTCAAAAAAAATTGTAAAGATACAAGTTAATCTACTACAGTACTGCAGATATTAAGCTAATCTACTACAGTATACAATATCCGTTTCTGAAAGCAGAAGTAATTCAAACCTGGGAGAAACAGGAATTGTCTACGACAAATTTCCTGTCTCACGTGATATATCGACGTATACTTCCATTCGCGCGTTGCTCCAAGAGCTCCAGTCACCTGAAAGAACTCGAGAGGAAGACGGCCCTCCGGCCCAAGAGTATGCTCTCGCATCCAGGTCGCGTACAAAGATCCTTATTGGTCGACGACGGCAAACCTCATGAAGGCTCCGGGGATCTCTCAGGAGCTTTCAGAAAGGAGCTGTGCCCGTGCCTCGACGTGTCCTGTATCAAACTTGGCGCGAATGGCTCGTAAGACAAATCCCCTACGCAACATGTACGGCTGAGTCGCGCGAGCCGCTTTGAAATTCGACACCCGATACATCACGTCGCCTTCAGCGTCGATCGCGAGCGTATATTCGAGGTAGAAGAAAGCTTTACACACGAATATGCACGCACGGGGCGCGGCGGGCAGACACCGTCTGGGAAAGACCCGGCTAATTTTGCTAGCCGCGCCACGTCGCCGCGCCGGGCGACCCACGGTGCTCCGATGCACGAAAATGTTTCTCGGAGGCATGCAACCGGGATTCGTATTTGGGCGGCGCTAACGAACGCTTCGACCTCCTTCGATAAATGATCGAGCTACGTCTCAGCTGTGTGCCGCGTTTTCCGCCGCGACGAGCCGTGATCGATCTTTTACGCCTGTGGCGTCTGTAGTCTGACACGAGCCGGACTATATCTACTGAATGTGTTGGATCTTCTTTTTCTAATCACGATGTATTTCTCATTGTAGTGAGGAAACATAAATCGTTTAGTTTCGAAATGTGTAACGTTCAAATATACATATTTCTGAATGATGAATGAAAGGTACCTAGATAATATTTTAATTTAAATAAACAAAAATTCTATCTATATATCTTTAATATATTGAACTTTAAACTATACTCTTATTTTTAAATGAAATTAAAAAAAAACATTCATTTTAGTTTGTATTAAAATTAGAGATAACTATAGTTTTGGAAATATTATGTTATGACTTAAATTATCGCTTTATTTTAAAAATAATATTTATGTACATGACTTTCACAAAAGCTGAATATTAAAGTAGAAATCTAATAATTCAGTCATATTAGATATATCTACAAACGCAAGTTGCTATGTTTCTATTTGGCTGCCGTTTTGTAGAATTTCATTTCCTGCGCGTTGAATTCTCCACTATACAATGCAGCAAAGTCAACCAAGCACAATTCTAACGAACATTCGTGATAAAGGAACGAATTTAATTACAAGCTTGCGAGATCTACGATGTTCACGTTGGAAACATTACGGCATCGCGCCGCTCCGGCTGTAATTTCGAATTAAAAGTGAAAAACTCAACGCGTGGAAATGTAAATCAGTCCAGGCGACGGCCGTCATAATAATAAAAAAATATTCCTATGGCTTGTGGCGATAATTCAAACGTGAATACGCGAAACACGTGCGAATGTGCCGCGGAAAATTATGCGCCGCAATGCACAACCCGACGAGTTATGTCGTTGCTTTAACGACTGAATAGATCAGCATCGTTGCTGTTTAGAAAGCTTTTCGACTTAGCGGTACTTCGCAAACACCCGGTTCGGTCCGCGGGTGGAATAAACGGGCGTGCGACCTGGACCTCTGCACGATAAAGTTAATGGACTTCATTTACATTGCATAATTGCGACGAAAGCGGAGCCAGCACTCAAATTATACGCAAGGACCAACGACCAGAACCAACAGCAAAGGTGCCCTTTGAATATTCGGTATGCTTAATACACTCATTTACACCGTACATGTTTGTCGAGTACGCCACGGATTCGCGACGTTGAAGGTTAATCGACTATAGACATAATGTGTAAATATATTTCTGTCGCATTAAATTATCATAGAACCTTTAATAGTTTAATAAAGCATACGAATTGTAATAAGCATCAATGTAATAAGCAAATTTATGTTACATGCTTTACTTACCTTCTTCTTATATGCTGGTTTATTATTGTATGTCTTAAGAAACTTATCTCAGAATATAATACATACATTTTTATCTCTAATCAACATTCAATTAAAAATTTTTAAAAATATACATATAATAATAATAAACCACTAAAGAAGCATTAAACACAGATATTAAAATACAGAAATATCAAAACCCTGCGTATTTTTCTTAATGCAGGCTGGATACGGAATTATGTAGATGTGATATGTCAATGGAGTATATTAAAATTATTATCAATAATAGATTTCTTGCGAGAATGCAAAAGAGATGCTGATACTTGACTAGATCTTATCTCTCAATATTACTTCGCATACGTTCGTATATAGGTAGATCCAATTATCTATTTCAGCCGATATCCTCTCGCAATACGTTTCGACAAAAAGCACGTGATCAAATATCGGCGTAAATTGCACAGATCGTCAAGAAGGATATTGATTTCATCGATCAAACGAAAATGTTTATTCCGATAAGTGCGTCATCGTGCTGTGCCAATATAGGAATCCGCATTTTTCGCACATGGCGAGCGAGCAATAAAGATACCCGAGACAGAAAGTTGCATAGCTTTCAGCACGTTCGCATAGAATATTGCCAACGAATCTGCGGCAAGAATGAGCGAACCGATGCAGGGAATGGGATTCCACATAAAGCGAATATCTTGAGAAAAGATTTCGTTATCGATTCCTCAATTATTTCAACGTTGTTTTTCTTCGTGTCGTTACCGGCGAGTTAAAGATCTTCGGAACGCTAAGTCAAGCCGGTTCCATCGCGAAGTCAATATATGAAGACCGCGAACTTACGTAGCTCCTGTACGATGCCATGATCCTAGATCCCTCAGGACTGCGACGGAACTTCAAGAGAAGAGAACAGGTCCCCTGAAGCGTTTCCTGCAGCTGTCTTCACCAACCACCATCGAGTACAGAAGCATCCGCACCACCGTTACACGATTTACCGGCACCGGTCGCCCGAATGGGACAGGACGTCCGAGAGGAAGAGGGATCACGGTATCGATCAAGGCCACGAGTGTAGAACCGATCGATTGTTACGAGAAAACAATCCTCCGCGACCTCGTAGGAGAGGAAAGTGGCGAGCGCTGCGAAGGCGCTTCGTTTCGAACGAAGCTCGGACCCTGAAGAGCCGGCGACCCGCGAGGCACGCCGCGGTCCCACTCGTTCTCTTTCTCTCTCGCTTTCTTTCTCGTTCTCTTCTCACTCCGAGCTCTCGGCGTCTCTTCTTCTTCCTTCTTCTCGACTTCCCTTCTGCTCGACTCGCGGAGTTACAGCTCCTTGTCGCACTCGCGGTGCTCACTTGAGCCCTATTTTAAGAATAGCTTTGTACTTTCTCTGTCTTGCTCTCTATTCGTTTCTGCCTCCTCTTCGTCTTCTGCTTCGCCGGCTGCGAAGGAGACTTCGAGGGGAAAGACCAGGGATAAGGATAAATCTCGTATAATATGTGCGAGTACGTGCTACGTGCGTTTCCGCTCAAGCGGAAATCGTGATGTGGTGATCAATAAAGATATCGATATAGTTAAGGAATATTGACAGGAAAGAAATGAAAGTAATTGAAATATTAAATGTAATTCAAAACGTTGATAAAACTTAGAAAACTTAGAACTTATAAATATTGTTTCTTATTTAAATTTATTTAAACCTTTAATTTTTGTGAAACCTAATTATTCATTATGTAGTTAGACGTGCTATCGTTATTTTGTATTTAAAAAAATTTAGGCTTAATTGACGAAGAATATTTTTTGTAGATTGCATAGTTATATTACTGATTAATTCTAGTACATATAGGCAGATTAAAGAACTTTTATACTTTATAAAAATCTTACATCGTGTTCAATTTTATTTTTATTTCTTACATAATGACTAATTTTTAAATTGTAACGGGGGGAAAAATGAATAACAAGAAGATCTTTTAAAGATCTTTTAAAGATCTTCAGGAATGTAACAGTAGGTATGTTATGAACAAAGAGCGTTTTAGAGCCATCGAATTACCAACCCAAAACTTAGCTTTAATTATTATCAGATTTTGAAGAGATATCGAATTCTCTTAATATTCTGAGAACAAGTGGTCCGGCCGAAGACAGAACAAACCACTCGCGAAACTATAGCCGTCTTTGTCCAGAAAATGAGGACAGCATTGCCACAAGATTGTTTCCACTGGCTGGATTCTCTTTCACGTGACGATGTGGTCGCTTGCGAGAAGTCCACAGAACTTTGCAAAAGCGGAAACTCCTTCTGAGAAATCGGTAGCGGCCCGGAGAGTATCCCCAAACAGGATTTACATTGTTACCGTTGAAGCAACGTGGAAGGGCAAGGACGAGAGACTTGGTTTGATCTGCGAAGAGCTTGAAAAGTTTCACCGAGTTTCCAAGTTGACGTTAAATGTTGACATTCCAGTTTCGAACAGATTAATTGCGAAAATTCCTTTGGGATTCGAAAAATGCTTTCAATCCACGGTTTCTGTCGTATAAACATTTCTTAAATCTTACTTTTCTCATATTATTTTTTTTTCCATTAATTTTAAGAGCATGATCAAATAGAGGATGCAAGATTACTGTAAATGCACTTTTATAAAAGTTAAGATTACGTTGTCTTTTTATCGAGTAAAGTTTCACGTATATATATATATATATATATATATAATTTTACTTAATAAATAAATCCCATAATACATATATCACATTATTAGTATTTGCAATTATTGAAAATAGCTTGGCATTAAAACTTAGAATTAATACAATTACATTTTTTATTAATATTTTATATACAATATTTTAAAATTATTGCTATTTCTTTAATCAGATTCTTTGATTAAACAGGGATTACATCTTTCTTATAAAAACCTTATAATTCAAAGTTTCTTTGAAAACAGTTTCTTCGATATTTCTATAAACAAAAGTAAAGATTCATATTTTTCAAATGTAGACAAAATATTTTTTAATTTTCGTTATATTTCTGTTCTTCTCATCTTCCTCCACGCGAACACTACAATATATAAATAAGTACTATTTGATCTGTTATTATGTAAAAAATGAAAATTAAATTAAAGAAGATATAAGATTTTTGTAAAAAAGTATAAAATTAGTTTTTTAATCTATAATATAACTCGGTATATTTGATATATAATATAATATAATTATATAATATAATATAATTTGGCATGCAATTCGATAGAGTTAATCAGTAATCTATACAATCTAAAATAAGAATTAGGCTAAATTTTTATTGAAATGTAACAATAGCATGTCCAACTACATAATTAATAATCAGAATTTACAAAAATTAAAAATTTAACAAATCTAAAGAAACAATATTTATAGTTTTAAATTCCTTCCCTTAGTTTTGTCAACATTAAGTTTAAACTATAACTATAACTATAACTATTTAACATTTTAATTTATTCTTCTATCATTATTCTCTTAACTATGCCGATATCTGCGTTGATCACTTCTGTCGTCATATCGCGATTACATATGTACTATTTATAAAATCCAATTAGTATTTAATTATATACAGTAGCTAACTAGACTTTGTGCTGCCAGCCAACGTGAAGCACTCGAGTGATATCTTGCTAGATATCACGGTAGATATCAAATGATAAATACTTGAAGAAAGATATTATCTAAAGCAAAGTTATCGATGGAGATTGAAGCAAACCGTGTTTAAGTTGAGAGCTTTCTAATTCGGTGGCGCTACAAGAATATTCTCAAAAGCTCTACAACGTTTTAGATTAACGATAATGCTACAGAAATAGTTTGCACTTAAATACACTTTATATTTTCAAATATAGAGTTTGTGTTAATTGAACATATAATTATTGTAGATATAGCATGTATAATATTTAGGATTTTTTATATAGGAAAATAAGAAAACTAAGAATAAGATATAGATTAAACTTAAATCGGAAAAATGAAAATTAAATTAAAGGAGAAAAAAGAAAAATATATCTTGATAAAAATAGCATTATATATATAGATGAATGAAATATTGAATGTGATTTGCATTTGCATTGCAAATTATTTTGATTCAAAGGAAAATCAAATTTCTAATAAAATAGGTACTCATGAAAGATTCGAATATATTTGATCCTGGTTCAAGTCCACTTGGAAGTTTTTCGAGAGCCACTCATAGAGAGAGGGTGAACTCATTTTGTCCAGGTTCGAGTCTACTTGAAAGTACTGCATTTATTTTTCAAAGTAATTATAGAGAGTTCGAATCTACTTGTAAAGAAAGTACTTAATTTCATCGCTATATTACGTTATTTGTAACATTGCAAAATACAAAAATTATCAACATCTTATGCTCAGCAAAACAGCTATCATTCTTTTAGAGTTTAATTGGAACACATCTTAAAAACTGTTAAAGAATCTGGTACATTTTATTTATATACATTACGTTAATATCTTCATGTATCACCTGGACATGATTGGACGTGCTGCAGGATAAAACCGAGAGGAATGTAAGACATAAACTCGTTACCTAGATCCGCATTTGCGACGTTGATAGATTCTCCATAATCCTTGTACACGTGCCATGAGTTGGTCGCAATCACACGCTCGATGCTGGTAATTAATTATGATCAGTGCAACGTAAGAATCGCGAAAAGAGTCGATCCTTTGCTCTCATATGTCGTATATTCGAAAATGTTTTGTCCCTAACATAAACGCGCGTACATATACACATAGACATATAATATACCTACAGTAATAATAGAAATATATCAGCGTTTCTTCTTAGTTCACGATAATTCTATAAAATTGATATATTATTTAGAATCTCTTAGTTAGATTATTGTTTGTGACAACGTAAAGATACGTTTACAAAAGATTGTAAAATTTACAAAAAAACCTTTTTGCTTTGCACTTCAAATTTAACAACAGATAATTGAAGAAGTTAAATGAAGAAAGTTGTAATCGCTGCGGGATGTATCAAAATAAAAATAGAAAACTATCGTGAAATTAACACGTGATTGACGAGGAGTTTATATTTTTCATATAACCACTTACCCTACTTTCTCAGTAGACATAGAAGAGTATTATTCAGACAAGAATAGAGCGACTTAGTCATCCCGAAGTCTGCGACAATGCCGAAAAACTTGGGCCTGAGTTTTTCGTGACAATTTTGGACGGTGATTCAACGTCGTCGAGAATCATGAATACTTTAATAGATAAATTGATTTTTTATATAAAAAAATTTATACTATATTTTTACTAAAAGATACTAAAAGATAAAGAATTAACATAAATAATGTCTAGTTATTATAGTGCGCAAGTATTTTGTATTAAATAGGCATTATTGGAATTTTTAAAAGCGTAAAATTAACATGGAAATTTTACATAAAGGTCATATACCTTTCACGCTGAGTAATATTATATCCAGCGTAGTTACATGCAAATTGCGATGAAGATTGCAGATTATGTATTAGCACGCAGCAGCTCGATTTACATCTTAAAAGAAGAGCAGATTATATTGTTTATGATTGCGAAACTATTTTCCTTGTCATATAAGTGATCATTGGTTATCTAAATGATTTTCGCACGTTATTTTAATGATAATACTAATATATTTATAATTTGAACTTATTTTTAAATTTACGAAATATAACATAACCAATAACGATAGAACAAAATGTAAATCGTATCTAATTTCGATTTTTCGGCCAGATATTAGTTACATGTTTTATAGTAAATTTAGCAGCTTCATCATTAGTAAGAAGTTTTCTAACGACCACTTAAAAAGCCACCTGTTGACCTCTTCCTGAATCCTAAGCCGATGTTCTCTATAATTATATGCGAAATGCGTATGACAGGTGCGGAATTGCAAGAAACAGTCAAAGATGTTATAATATATGAAATGGAACACGATATTAATAAATTGCGACAAACTCAAAATTATGTCTTCTACGCATTTTGCATGGCATATAACAGTCACGATTAATATACGTTAATAATCAGATAGCAAACAAAAGATTTACATGTAAATATTTATATATATATATATATTTTTTTATTAGCTTAAATTTGTTGAAAAATAATGTGAATATAATTTTTAAGTTTTTGCAAGTGAGTAAACTTGCTAAAAATTGTTTAGTTCTTATAGTAATAATAATAAAAACATTAAATAAGATGCAATTATGTCACGATACAATAATCTGTAAGAGATTATTGCATTGTGATTGTTCAATTGCGTAAAACAGAAAATCAAGATCTTTCGATATAGCTTACAGAAAGTCAATGAAAGAATGGAAAAGAGTTAAATTTAGAAAATTAGGGCAGTACGCTGATTCGACGACGCAAAAATCATTATGTTTTTTAAAGTAGAATAACATATCCAAAATGTTTATATGTTTTTTTATATTGTTCTGTGTCTCTTGCACCTTATATTAATTTATGTTACTTAATGTTGAATATAATGCCCGAAATCCATATATCATGTAATTCTAATTAGAAAACAATAATCTATACTTAATACTTTTGTATTAAATAATAAATTTACAATTATATAAAATTTAAATATTTATTTAATATCAAAACATTATAAATATTGTAGTAATAAATTAATTTGCGCTTTTCCACAGATAACTAAATAATATTAAGAAAATAAGAGAATTAAAAATAAAGAGGAAAAAGATAAGAATAGAATATTAAATTAGATTTACTATTTGCTTTAAGAAATTTTTATGAATAATTTTACAAAGAAACATTTTTATAAATACTCACATATAAAAGAATTCTTGCAGTTGTGTGGAATAAATAAAAATATATGCCAAGAACTCAAAGCAGTATATGACTTCACATTTTTCAAATATCTTTTGCTTATTTCTAGATTGAAAAAGCAAGATTTTTTATTTATGTATTTTATATAATTAAAAGTCGTTATTTAAACACTTTAATAAATTAATAAGAGAAAAGTGATTAACAAGAAATTATATAAACAAATAGTAGAATTAGAAGAGTATTAAATTTAAAATCAATATATTTATAAGTGTGTAAAAAGGAACATGATAAAAAACATAAACAAAAAAAGCATAATAAATAAATTCTTTTATAAGAAAAAATTGCTTTCGAATATCATAAATCGGGAAAATAATTAAGAGATTTAAGAGAGAGAAAAGAATGAGGGTGCGACTAGCTCGCTTGAAAGAGATAGGTAGGTAAACGAAGCAGAGAAGCACAGATGAGAGAGCTATTTTCGCGTTTGGTCTGACGATGTGCCACCTCTTCGCTGACACCTGGAATTCTCCACTAGAGCGAGCCACGTACTCAAGAAAAGAGGTGACGAAGGGTGAAGAAGGGGATGAACATGCAGAGAAGGGGCCAATCTCAAATTACTGAGCTCTGGGCTAGGCCGACCGTCGCATCTTTGCCCACCATCGCGCGGCGACCTTTTATAGACACTCGCCAGTAGTGGGGCGAAGTGGGAGGAAATTATATGAAAACTGGCAATTCGACGGAAAAAGAAAAAGCATTCGAAACGTGCGATTTTGCTCTGACTGATACCGGAGAATGGAATTTTGATGAAGCGCAGATGTCGAAGCAGCATGGAGTAGTTTTTACTTTTTGCACTCGTTAAATATTAATTACGTTTTTCATAGGTAGAAGTTATAAGATAGGGAAAATAATATCAATGAAGATAACATTACACTATAGTAAAAAAGATTTCAGAAACATAATATTTATGATGAAGCAAAAAGCAAAACTTGACACCCCAGCTACGAATACACTTGTTTTATGCTTATCTGCTTGCACATCCCTTTCTTTTTCTCTCTTTCTCGTTCTCTTTATTTTTTTAAAGCAGATCGTATATGGAGCAATAAATATGCAATATATGTATAGTGGACTTTCTCATTAATTCATCATACTTTTTTCATTTTCCATGACACAGTAGAATTATATTTCTAATACAATAGTTTGCCCATTACACTATATAGCATATTTTGTAAAATTTCCATGTGACAGCAATACATTTCAGATGCAATAGTTTGCTTACATTACATATTGCGTATTTGTAAGATTTTTACGTATTATATCCAGGTATATCGGAATGGGTTTACTTCTAGTGTTGGAATATAATAATTAAATAATAATTATAAAAAAATGTCAAACGAGTAATTTTGATTTCCTTGGTAGTTCTAGTGTTAAAAAATTCTTATTTGTTTATTTAATAATATTATAAATAATATTATAATATTACAATAATAGTAGAAATCTTACATTGTATATTGTATTGACGACTAACATTCTAAAATAACTACACATTACCGTAGGATGATTTTAAATTAAACATAAAGATATATATGCTAAAGAAATATATCATTCAGAAGATTTCACTGCCAACTTTCGCCCACTTTCAATCATCAAACGTATCAAAATATCCATATTGGTCATTATGACCAATATGCGCATTATGCTCGTCGTTATAGAATTACTCGCGAATGAATCTGCGATCTAAAAACAACAATACGTTGTTGTGACATATGCCAATGGGTGTGTTAGATATATAGCTTAACTTTTTCTCTCTTTTACCGTACAACGCTTCTACTACTTGTGAGTAGATAGATCGCTGAATGACTCGACAGTTTTATCGATGGTTGAACTAAGAGTATCCTATTCAATATATCTTTCTTTTCAAGTACACTATATTAAATCGAGCGACTGCATATACACGAATTCGAACAATCTCCTTAGGCGACCAAATGTATACCAACTTATCAAGCTGGAAGACAATTTAAGACTATAGTAATGTAATAAAGTATTTTCATAAAACAACAATAATTGTGCCTGTAATGTTAAAATAATATACGTAATAATATACGCTATCACAAATTTTTTTCATATATTAAGCAAAAAAATTTAGTTTTAAATTTAATTTTGGAAATATTTATGAATAGAAAAATGCGATGAGTGGAAAACGGAGAGTTATGTTTGAAGACAGATAAATTATTAAAAAAATTTTCGATTTTTTTAGACTGCAAGGTATAGCTTGAAATATAAATAAATAAATGTCTTTCTTATAATCTTTTTTTATACTATCACAAGTGTTTCAAAAGTTATGTGGATTATTACGATGAACACCCTGTATATTCTTTTGTGAAGAGGGGCAGCAAATGAGGCGTGTGACTCAGATCTTTTGTCACGTCCGTTTAAATCTGTATAAATCCGTGTGAAACTCTAGTTTTGATATATTTTCTACTGATTATTAACTTTTTTATATTAATTTTAAACGTTCAACTTCCTGTATGTAATCAATTATTATACAATTTAATTAATAAAATATTTACATATACAAAATATCCTTATGTAATACCTACAATAATTTTGGAAATTAGTTGTGATTATTTAAAAAATAATTCAGAGAATACTGGAAAACGCGTAATCTTGATATATTTTGAAATTCATGTAACATAATAAAGATCATGAGAGAGTGACATTTTCTGCTCTTCGTGCGCCGTAGCCGACCAAGCTGAAGTTGACTTGGCAACCACCTTTGGGCAACGTGGGCGTCTAGCGCGGTTTAGCGATTTCCCTCGACGATGATGAAGACGACAAGAACGACGACGGTGACGAACGTGTTCACCGTTCCTGGTGGGGATCCAACATCAACGCGCTTGCGTCGGTCGTCATTTTGACGAAGCCATAGAACGGCCGGCGCGCCATACGAACGACGACGGGTCGCGCACTACGAGTAGGGCGCTGGTCGGCTCCGAAACCCCGAAGAGAAGGAAGAAGAAGAAGAAGAAGATCGTGGAAGAGAGTGGAGGTGAACTCGCACCAACGATTGAGGCCGAGGCGATTTGACTTAGCCAGCGGCGAATAAGAAGAAGGCGGAGGGTGCCCCAAACTGAGGATTCACGAGAGAAGTTGAATCCCGCAAAGTACGAAGGGAAACCAGAACATTGTTGTTGAAAACAAGTAGAGGACGAAGCGAGGAAGATGTCTTCAGCGGTTGCTAAAACCTCTAAGTACACGTACCGCTCTACTGGCGGTGCGGGTACTGCCGATGTTAGCATCGAATACAGCGCCGACCTGAGCGCTCTCACCAGACTCGAGGTAGGTCCTGCGAAAAAGTGCCTTTGATATGTATCATATTCTTCGGTAGAAGAGAGAACAACGTCAATGATTTAAAAAAATGACTTCTTTAATCGTTTCTTTTACTTGCTATCTTCTAATTATAACTGAATATTTCTGAATAACTCGGAAAAATTCTGAATCTACAGCTTAGTGTCTTTAAGAGTTACCTAAAATTAATTATCAAAATCATTATTGTTTTATGAGGAATGCATTAAAGTACGAATATAAACTTGACGAAATTAAAATAATTAGATATCAGGAAAGTTTCTAATGAGATATATTGAATAAATTTGTGATGAAATATATAATGACTTTCAACGAAAATTTTGTTACACGATACGAGAATTAGAAATTCCTTACAATGAAAACGTATTTAATAATCTGAGAAATTGGAGGATAATTCTTTTCCTAAAAAGTACGAAATATTGCGTTAACAAGATTTGCCAGGCCACTCAATTAATACGATTATATTTATGTGATGGCGGCGAACGAAAGAGGACGCATCGACCGACGTTCTCCAACACTTCCCGAGGAAACGGTCGCACGGTCGCGCCTATTAATCGTTAGATTCTAACGAAGATGAAGCTTCAACCAAAGTTACGGTGCGTCATCAAAAACGTTGACCATCAGTGATGCGCGATGGATTCGTACATGAAGAAACGCGGAGCAGTGACCAATCGCGAAGGTAGTGAATCGCGAAAGTTCAGTGACCATAAGGGATGTTAGTGCCAATCCGACGAGGAAACAAAGTGTACGATGTTCTGTAGCTATCGGATTGCTCGTGCACGAAAATAGTCGGTGAAATATCGGTCTGAAATAACGATCGTGCCAGAGCGCCAGATCGATACCGCTTCGAGATATCGTCTGCCAATGATGTAGCTAAGTCCACGAGACACATTGGCCGATCCTTCTTCGGAAGATCCGAGGATTTGCTTTTCCACAGCGCGTTCCGTCTCAAGTATAAGAGAGCGTATTGTCGCCTCTACATGACCAAGTAAGATCGTTTGTTCATCCCTTGCGAATAGTGGCCTGGTTGGTTTCCTTGGCGCAATCTAAACGTATCAGTATCAGTCTTTCTTGAAATAATCGCGAGCCGTGCGGCTCGAAGACGCGCTAAGCAGACATCGCGACGTCGTCGTTCTCTCCTTCTACCGAGGACGAATCTATTCTACGGAGGCCGTCCGTCTTTCCGAAATACCGAGCCTCCGCTCTTGGATATTTTCGTCGTACGATTACGTAAAGCGTCGACCCTCTATAACGGGCGTCGTTTTGATACCCTCTAATCCTCATTGCCTCTCTTTTCAGGACAAAATCCGCCTGCTACAGGATGACCTGGAGTCTGAGAGAGAGCTGCGTCAGAGGGTGAGTTCCATGAATGTCTTCGTGTTCTTACAGTGTGTCTGAATCTTGAAGCTTCTTAATACATCAAGTGCAATGGCGGACATCGATGGCGCTTGCTGTGATATTTGATATCGAACGTCAAGATTATATTTGAAGAAACTTTGCTATACAGGGTGCCCCAGGTTTTTTCATACAAACTTTAGTAGCATGTTCTATGAACAGAAATAAAAATGTTATATAAACATAAATTCCAAATTATCTTATTAGAAAGTTATAACAAAGTTAAAATTTTATTCAAGAAGTAATAATGGTTTTGTTAGGGAATCTTCGTTGATATTCTCTAGAAGTTCGTGCATTTTCTGCAACCAAATCATACACAAAATAAATATCTTTGTATTTTTTGTTTGTGAAAACGAATTTTGGAACAATGTTCTACAAGGTACTGCTCGTTAGTATTGATACAAGTTTTTACCTTCAATCATTTCAAATCAGTAATCACGAGAGGCAGATAAGTAAACATCATCGAACGACGTATCACTTATGTATACGGTATGTATGCATGTCCACTTATCCATGGCAAGACCATTATTATTTCTTCAATACGAAATTCTAACTTTTTGCTCTAACTTTCTAGTAAAGCATTTTAAGACTTATGTTTATATAACAATTTTTTTATTTTTATTTACAGAACATACTAAAGTTTGTACGGATAACCCTGAAACTCTGTATACAGAAACAAATAAATAATTAAATTGATTAATTAACTATTTTATATACATTCTCTAAAAAGTTATAGTACACTAAAATACTTAACTGTTTTATTCTTTTATTAAAATATAATAATTTTATTAATTACTATTTAGTTAGTTTGGATTTATTTATTAATTAGTTAAAAATTAACGCAGGCGCTTAACGTGTTAACTAACTGTTACATCATAATAGCATCAAAATGTAACATTAATATAATAAAAGAAAAATGGTTTTATTTGGTATGCTTATTTCAAAAGTATTTACTTAAAAGAGACATGTGCATTTTATAACAAGCATGATTAAAAAGAAGATAAAAGGCCAAATAGGCAATTTAATTACGAATACAACCTCTTTGAAAGGGAGCTAATATTAATTAAAAATCACGTTTGTGTGAAAATCCTGTTTTGTTATTTGTAATCCGAGATTCGCGATACGACCAAACATTTCCATCATCAAAGAGTATCATATTGTCCGAACCGAATTACAATCCCATATCGATGATATACTCGTTGGATATCACTATTTGAAAAATGTACATAAAAAGGGACTAAGGATGCTAATTCATTGCAGAGTGGGGAGTATATAGTAGGTCGAAATGTCCAGCTCTTGAGTTGCACCTATTTTTAGGAACGCGAAGCGCTTCGGGATCGTTCCCGCATTCCTGCGCTGTATTCAACACCGCGCTTGCCTACTTTTATAAACGAGGAAAATACTATCACATAATCTCTACAGAAATGTATATGGCTCATAAATGTCTTAAACCAACATTGAGAGAAGATTCATATAAACACAATCATAAAAGAAACAGCTGTTTCTAGATAATATGAAAATTCAATTCTATTTACACAAACGAAAAGACATTTTGTTTTTTATATCACGATTTAGAACTAATTTCTTTATTTACAAAAAATATTTTTAATTAAGGAATTGGTTTTTATACGTACAAACATTTTGTGAAATTTTATTCGTCTGACAAGATTGTATACTGCAAAAATTACATTCCTTTGATAATTATATTCATCCAGTTAAGCGTGTGTAAAAAAAAGGAGCACAACGGATTTCAAAGAGAAAATCAAAGTTTATAAGAACTTCTCAGATTTCATTGTCTGTTAAAATTCCACAGAAATCGGATTGGTGTGTAACGGACGCCATAATACGTGACTTGGATGATTGCCAAAAATTTTCCTCGCGTTTTGAAGCTATAAAGCTCGAAAATTGATATGACGGTTACAGCGCACGGTGTACGCTTTCAGAACACCTTACATATCTTCGTTTATATGTGCAGAATGCATCATATTACATTTAAGAATTCCAAATACTGGACTAAATATGTGAAAGCAAATAGTTTATTTAATTTTTTTATAATGCATAAATACATGACAGTTTAATTTACTTTGGCCATTAAATAGAGAATGTATTATATAACTATAATAAAAGTTTAATATTTTTTTACATTAAATTAGTAAGTTTGTACAGTGTTTGTAGTTGCTGATAACAACTACTTTTTATTAAGTGCATTTATTCTTTAGTTATTTGAAATAATATGTTAAAATAATAATTGAAGTGTGGCAATATCTAATAAATCAAAATAAAATCATGATCCATAATTTCATGCAACTGATCGTAAAAGTAATTAACCGCGATCTTCTTCTTTCGCGTTAAACGCTTTGCTTGTAATATGAATAAGAGTCCCAATATAGACACGCCGCGCTTGAAAATAGATTGTCTTATTCACGGTATGAAGTAACCTGACGTCAGGCTACCACTCAAGATACTGTGGCAAAACGCACCGTCATGCGATTTCTTTAATCAAAACAATAACCGTAACTTAACTGCATTTGTCATTAAGACTCATTTAAGGACTTTTTAAGGATCTTTACATGACGTCAGCTTACACGAGAGAGCAATATGAAAATGTTTTTAAGCTAAAAAGAACACACTTTGAAAGAAATCGTGTAAAAGAAGCAACATAAAATAATATCGAGTATCATAAAGTAATTCTATTATTTTTGTCATTAATTTTAATTTTAATTTAAAGTTTATTTGTAAAAACATGTTGCAATCTTCTTTTTATACATATACTTTTTTTATACATGTCTTTATTGCATTAATTAATAATTTACATATTTTAAAAATCAATTCTTTGCAAAACAGATTTTATATAAAACTTATAATTTTGAGTGTCGGTAATATATTATCATAAATTTGAAAATTATTAATTTTTTTTTATATAATGATCTAGATCGAACGCGAGCGCGCTGACTTAAGCGTGCAAGTCATCCAATTATCCGAACGTCTCGAAGAAGCCGAGGGTGGCGCCGAATCTCAAGTTAGTATTTGAATTTTACAGAGATAACTCTTTCGCAATATCAAATCGCTAAATCTAAATCATATATAATTAATGACTCATTCGTTTAGTTTGAGATTAACAAGAAGAGGGACACGGAACTGGCTAAGTTGCGTAAACTACTCGAAGATGTCCATCTTGAGAGTGAGGAGACCGCACATCTCTTACGCAAGAAGCATCAGGAGGTCGTTGTCGACTTTCAGGATCAAATTGACCAGCTTTCGAAAGCACGTGCTAGGTTGGTAACGATAAACATGACCGTAATTAACGAACTCTTGCCGTTAGTTATGATAAATTTGTTCAAAATATTCTACAATATTTTTTCTATAACTATTTGTCTTACTACTAAGTATTTATAGATTCGATAAGCTATTTTAAGCTTTCAAATTTAATGTTTTGACTATAAAATGACTGACCGAGACCAGAGCTCCGTACATTTCGAAAAATGCGCGGACATATATATACATTCGCGATCGCAGAGCAGCCGCGAATGTAAACGTTTATTAATCTTCTGTTAAAACGGGAGCGCGCATAAGCGTGTTGCCAGGGAGCGTCAATAAACAGCCGAGAACTGGCCGGAAATTCAGCGAATAGCGGTTTCATAAGGAAGCGTCCCGTGGAAAGGACAAGACGCTAATAGGGAGGAAGTATAATGAATCACGATGTCACGTGTGTAATTATAACGCGGTCCGTCACAAACGAGAGTAACTGTAGGTAAGAAAATTTGCGCGAATCTCATACAAGTCGCACTGGCCACCATCCAAGCCAGAAAACGACTCGCAACTGAAATACGCGAAGATTCAGTACCCCGGCTTTTCTAAACATAGTAGCTTCTTCGAGGCGCCGATTCTGTCGTTCGTACAAGGACGATGACAACCCTGGAAATACGCGTTAATTAGATCGCTAATTGGCCGCTCAATGGAACGTCCGTGACCGTTTTTAGTTTTACTTTTTTGGTAGCTTTTTTGAAAATGGAACATTTAAGAGAAAACAATTTTCTTTCAGACAGTCGCATGAGCTGTTTGAAAGACAAAGTTTCTACGGTTCCGCAACACTAAATACTATTTATACTAAAACAAAATTAAGCAATTATAAGTACATTTACAAAATATTAAATGCAATTTTTAGTTGAAAAATACAATATCTCTTTCAAGAATTATTATAACAATAGTTGTGTTATTTACAATACATTACACTATTATGTCTGAAATTTGCTGAAAGAACATGAATTTCCAAAATTTAATTCAAAACGGTCGATAGTGCTAAAAATAAATAAGTAATCAACGCAGCTGTTACTTCATTTCAGAAATCCAACGACGCAAGTAGTGTCAAATATCATCTTGTTACATTTTCCTCATGATTTCACTGCCGATTATAAATCATAACCCACGCAACTACGACATTGACAAAATTTTTGAGCATCACAAAAATATAAGTCAATCTATAAGTAACATATTTATTTTTATTCTCTCAATAATCTTGCAATATATTTTCCGATAATTTTAACTCTATCCATTGTTATCTATTGGTACAACTTTTGTCCCCCAACTTCATCCAAAAATTTAATTTTTTAACCGTATCTTCAGTAATAATGCCACGCAAAAAAAAATTGTTATCTGTTCATAAAATAGGAAATGAGAAGAATGATATGATAAGTCTCGTAACTGTGCTATTTTTCTCTCTCTTTCTCAATGCGAAAACACACTGTCTTCTTCTATTTCTCTCATGCGTTTCTCGTTCTCTCTCTGTCTTCCTTTCGCTCGCGCAGCTTATGACTATTTTTAACCGTGCGAGTCGCGCGGTAATCCACAACCCCAACGTTGGCGCGCCATATTAGTACACGCGACCGGCCAGAGAACCCCCACTATCTTCAGAATCGGCTAACTGACATCTTGCACCCTCTATCGCATGTAGGAATAGGTCCTGTACTGCCCAAATTTTTTCATATTGCCTCTAAAAAAATGAAATTGCTCATAATATTTTTCTTAAAGCGTGCATTACGTATGGAGACAACGCGACAAGGTATTGCATTATACTTTATTCGAAGATATGTACTATTATCAGTTTAGACACCTAATCTTTAATAATTTTCTCTTTTCAATATCTAATGTTACTGACGTGTCCTACAGAATTTTTAAATTATTTTTAAGAAATTGGAAATATCAAAATTTTAAAATTTGCTTTATGGGTCGATAGAATATTTTAATTTTTATTAATTCGTGCTTATTTAATGTAAGAAGATTTGTTTTTTCTCTCTAGCATATTATATAGTTATTTACAAATTTTTGACTATATTTAACCAATTTTATTAAAAACAGATTTTTAAATATTGAGTTACAAATTAAAAATGCAGTCAGTATTTAATATATTAATTGTATTGAAGTTTAAAACGTTTTAATTGCTCATTTACATACAAATATTATTTTTAAATAATAAAATAACGTTCTAAAAATAAAGTTTTCTTAGCAAACATGTTTTGTAATTTCAGAGCTGACAAGGAAAAGTCTAAATTCCAGCAGGAAGTGTATGAGCTCCTCGCTCAACTTGACAACGTTACTAAAGAAAAGTTGATGTCAATAAAAACAGTCGAGAAACTCGAGATACACATATCTGAATTGAATGTGAAAATTGAAGAATTAAATCGTACGATTGTCGACATCACCAGTCACAAAACTCGGTTGTCTCAAGAGAATATTGAATTAGTCAAAGAGGTGCAAGATCTCAAGGTAATGGACATTTTATAGCTTATAGCGTAATTATATTTTTCAATTTAGTACAAATCACGAATTATTTACATAAAATTATAGGTCAACATCGAAAATGTTACCTACTTGAAGACGCAAATCGCGGGTCAACTCGAAGATGCCCGCCGTCGTCTTGAAGATGAAGACCGTCGTCGCGCATTGGTGGAAGCTTCTTTGCACCAGGTATAATTTTATTAATTTCAACAACTTTCTTCAAAGCAAATGGCTAGTCTTAAATATTTAATAACTCAATTTTCTTTAATACGAGAAATCAGTGTTTGTTAAATAATTAAATAAGTAACTTTGATTATTATGTTAAAAATGAATACTTTATTATTTTACATATTGACAATTTTTTTATATAAATCTATACCATTAATATAATATTTTTTATATAAAGAATCAAAGAAGGTCGATAAAATGAGCTATTAGTTCCATTTTATATTACATTCTTTATTAAATATTAAAAAATGTAAATCCAGAATACAATTATATTTTGTTTATTAAAAGAAATCTATTAAGAATTAGATAAAGTTAATCTATTAAGAAATAAATATAATAATTATTAACATGACTTAATAGGTCGAGGTGGAATTGGAGTCCGTTCGCGTCCAGCTGGAAGAAGAATCTGAGGCGCGTTTGGATATCGAACGTCAATTGGTCAGGGCTAATGGAGAAGTCTCGGTGTGGAGATCAAAGTTCGAGACCGAGGCTAACGCTCGTATCGAAGAGGTAATATAAACATTATTACAAAAATATAATTACATTAATTTAATAATTGTTTTCACACCTGTGTCATTAATTTTCTTACTTCTATCTATACCGAAATCCGAGATGATAAATTACTAACTAATATTTAACATAATTTTACACAGGTGGAAGAACTTCGTCGCAAATATTCCGCTCGCATCCAAGAACAGGAAGAACAAATCGAGACTTTGCTTGTGAAGATCAACAATCTCGAGAAGCAGAAATCGCGCTTGCAATCCGAAGTGGAGGTTTTGATCATTGATTTAGAGAAGGTAAGATTTCATTGCTTTCCAGCTTTACGCCAGCATATCTTTTCCTGAAAAAAAAAAAAAAAAAAATTTCACATTCTTAGACAGAAAAATTTCTCATATTTTTATAACTCCTTTCTTTAAGGCCAATGGAACTGCTCGTGAACTTCAAAAGCGTGTTGAACATCTTGAGAAGGTCAACATAGAATTAAAGACTCGTTTGGATGAATCCCTCGCCATGTATGAGCAAAGCCAGCGTGATCTCCGTAATAAACAACAAGAACTGCAACGCGTAAATGCCGAACTCGACAAGACCCGTGAATTGAAAGATCAATTGGCCCGTGAGAACAAGAAACTTGGAGGTGATAGTCATTATTTTTTCATTTATACCTACAATATGCAATCTGAAAATATAGCAGCATATATAAGCTGTGAATTTTGCAATCAATTATTATATTTTACAAGTTACTTTACATTCAGATGCGTTCTTAACAGAATTAAAGTCTTTCTTTATATAGTAAACAGTTCTTTAATGAGCTTTCTCTTTTGAATAGAATAAATTTCTTCACAAAGTAGAAAATTATTTAGACACTTAAATTATGAATTATATTAATCCTAATAACGTTTATGTAGATGATCTTAACGACGCAAAGAATCAATTGGCTGACATGAATCGCAGACTTCATGAATTAGAACTGGAACTTCGCCGATTGGAGAACGAACGCGAAGAATTGGCTGCCGCCTATAAGGAAGCTGAAGCAGTGAGTAATCATCCATGCTTGTATAGTGTGGAATATTATTTTAATAAATAAGGTGTAAAATTATTAATGGTAATATTTATAATCAGAATTTTTTATAATAGATAAATTTAAATTTAAGAAAGTCTTAAAAAGATTAGTTTTATACTCATCTTAAATTCATCCTAGTAATCTAGTTTCTTGAAATTAGTGTTCCATAAATCTATCTATCTTAAAGACTTGTTTGCTATGATAATCAAAAAACAAAATTTCTTATCAAAGTTCCCTAAGCAAAATATTAAGAAATGAATTTTTTAAAATTATAGATTTTAAAATAAAAAAAAATCTATATATATGATTTCAAAAGATTAATTAATAATAATATAAATTAATATAAATAATATAAATATAGCATAAATGATACTAAAAAGAAGTAAGATATTAAATGAAGATAAATTTAATATAAGGGCCGGAAAATTGAAGAGCAACGTTCTCAGAGGTTGTCAGCTGAATTGAGCCAACTGCGTCACGAGTTCGAACGCCGCATTGCTGAAAAGGACGAAGAGATTGAAGCTATTCGGTAAGTTCTTAAATATAGTCATTTTTATCTACTATATTCCACAATATCCCAGTTTTTTGTGAATTCTCTTTTAAAGATTTTGCAAAGAATTACACAAAATCTTTGCGACATATACATTCGTAATTAATTAATATTAATTGATTATATTTAATATTCATTTAATAGAGCTTATGCAACAGCTCATAATTTTAACGTATGTATTTTTTTACTACTTATTTCTTATTATTTCCAAACCTGTTATATTAATTTTTTAATTAAAATCATCTAATTTTAAAAAAGAGCAGTTATTATTACATTAAAATAAGGTTTACATTATTCCAACCTGGGATTAAAGGAAGGAAAATTATTCTTAAAAATATCATATTAATGTAGTTGCTCTAATATGAGAAAAATTATATATTTTTTGCTTACAATTAGACAAATTCGTGTTTTAGCTTTTAATGAAATTATATTATGGACTATGTGCTCATGTGGTTATTCTTAAAATTTTCATTTTATAATTAAATCATATAACACGTAATCGATAATGCAAAGAAATATTATCGTAATGTAAGTAATAAAATATAGGTTCAATTGTATTATCTTAGACTGTGATATTATCACTACTATATTTGATCAGTTATCGTAAATCGAGAAGTGCTATTTTATTAGTGTATATAAAATGTTAATTAATTTTATCAATAATTAATTCATATATTTAACGAGTAATGTAAATAATTTCCGTCCATGACTCCTAATTGTCTACGTATATATTTTGATATTACTATTAGTTACATTTACAAGCATTATTTTATTTAAACCTAAGAAAGAAGTATAATATTTAATAAGAAATACTTAATTTTAGAAAATTAGATTAAAAAATACAGTATAATACTCTATAATAGATGTATTTTACGTGAACACCTTAATTACGCTTTGCAATAGTCAGATTATATATAATATTAAAATTAATTATATGGACATTCTGATCGCTAATAATTAACGCTGAAATAAAATGGAACATATAGGGTAATGAGTACAGGGGGATTGATATTAATAAGAACAGACGATGACAATTCATACAAAGATACGATGCTATTAATAAGTACGATCAGTCATGATCCAATTATTATTGAGAGGTGCTGATTGGTTGTCCCCGATGTGGCAATCGCGACGAAAACTACAAAAGATACCACCTAACCATCGGCCCAATTTTTTGTCGACGATCTTGTCGCAAGTATCACCATCATCTGTAAATCTATTCACCAAAATTACAAATGCATCAAAAAATCCATCACGCAATATATTAAATAAAAAATCAGAAGCCTGACAATAACAGAATATAATCAAACTCTCTAGACACAAAAAAGAGACGACAATTTGAAAGATTCTTTACATTCATCACAACACTGTTTTCCATCGCAATCTTTAAATTGCTCGAACCAAAAAGTAAAGTGAACATTTGTGTGGACATCTAAAATTTTTATCAGGAATGGCGGGTTACATGCCACCAATTCATATGCCATTAGAACCAAAATGGCGACATTATCCGACGTACATCTACTCAAGAAATTACGGATACGGAATGAATTATTATCAGCCAATGATTGATTATATGGATAACAAGAGATTATCACTCAGTTCGAGATCATCTTTACCAGAGCTTGAGAGAAGAATAGAATTACCCGAATTACCCTGGTCCGACGGTAGAGTCTTATGGGAAGACAAAAAGGTACAGCCCTATACGAGAGACGACCTTATTAAATATGCAATCGACGCTGAGGATGAAGCTAGAGATCACCTGTCTCGTTTTAAGGTACGGTAGCGAGAAACGCTGATAAGTTTTCGCGAATGGGAGTTTCTGGGAAATACGAGGCGATCCGTTCTCCGAGTGCTGCGCGACTTGGTGACTGCTTGACCTTTTCGGTTTCTAAATTTGGTGCCGCGGAAGAGACTGCTTCGTTTCAAGTGGCAACGATCAAAGACGTGTGCACGAATGCCGTGCGTAATTCGTGTCATTATTGACGGCGTTAAATTTTCTCCTATCGCGACTTATTTTGTTTTGTTTTCATGCAGAAATACGCAATAACAATGCAACATCGGAGTTCTTTTTATTTAATTTCGTATGTAACAGATAAAAATTAATTATACTAACGAACTTGCTTCTTTGATATTTATAATTCCTTTTATAAATCATAATTTTATAAAAATGATATGCCAGGAATAATGCAAAATTAATTTATGAAGAATACATTTTAAAGAAATGCAGACAAATGTGAGAAATTTTATAATTCAAATAAATTGTATTAATTCACTCATCTCGCAATGTTGTAGATACATTATTTACATTTTTATTTGAACAGGATCGGTTTTTATAAATCTATTATTATTAATAATCAGTACATAAACGTTAAATGTGTAGCAAATAATGTTTATTAAAATATAATTATCTATTTGCTTCTCATATTTTTTTATACTTTCAAATATAATCGTGTATATTTTTTTTAAAATATTGTCACATTACAGAAGATTGCATTATCAAAACAATCTAAGATATTTTTGGCTTTGATAATATTTATAATATTAAAAATATTTTTTCTAGAAAATAATAATATTTTCTTTGAACAACTGACATATCATAGCATTCAAATACGAAATTTGACTATCTTATAACAATATACAATCTTAAAAGCAATATATATATATAGAGCAATATATATATATATGTATAGAGCATTTTCTATTAGTATTTAACAGACAATTCGCTGCGGAAGCTTTCTATCATCAACTGAGGAAAACTAACCGGGCTAATAAAAATATCGCGAAAGCGCTGCACCGAACGATTTCTTGGCACCCTATTATTTGGACCGTTCCTTACAGTTCTGATCTAAGTCAGAACAGTCTGCCAAATCGTACAGTGCAAAAATCCATCTCGTGTCCCCGGACGAAAGGGACACTAGGTGTTCGGTGCATTGGCAGTCGCTCTTGAATCTTTCGGGAGGGTCGGTCCCGGTCGCGAGTAGCGCCGATTACTTTCGCATTCTGGACCGCTGCGGCTAAGTTTAGGTGACCACGTCGCGCAAGTGCGCGTGCATGAACGGAAAACGGTGGCGCCCGTTAGACGTCCGCCCGTAGAAAAACACGAGCGACGTGCGACATAAAATTGACGCTTACCATCTGTCTACCTGACGTGTCCGAAGATAGCAAATCGCTCGGACTTCAGCCTGGCCAAGACCGTGCAGGCCAGCCGCGTGACCAAGGAGATTTTTCCGCGCACCGGAAAGGACCTAAAAAGACTACCCATGCCTCTGATGTTCGCCAGCGCTCGTGCCCGCAGCGAGGTCAAGGAGATCCAGCAGGAAGCGAGGAGCGATATTAAGCTGCAGGCGTTGAAAGATGTTCAGATGATGACCGAGGTGAATGACGCGCTGGAGCATGGCAAAAGTCTGCGTGGCAAATCCGCGAAAGCGATAGAATTCCATCTGAGGACAGAAGCTATGAAGAATCTGTCCAAGAGCCAGGAATTGGCTGACGTACGGAAGTTCCAAAGGGAAACTGTGCACTCTCTCTGGGACGACGCGGCACACGGCAGATTGATGAACGAAAGGGCCAAGGCTCTGATCGATGAGGACAAGCTGACGCAGCCGTTTAATACGCTCAGTAGGGAGCTACGTGGATTCGAGCAGAAGTCCAGCAATTATTTCCTAGATAAGAGGTATCAAGATCGTGCGAGGCGAGAACTTTTGTATGGCTGTCGAGGATGCGAGTATTATAATGTTAAGCGTAGTAGATAGGTAAGAGTTGTGTGTTACGACCGAGTTCTCAGTAGAAAAAGGTATAATATTTTATTTTCTAGAAAAGTAGAAATGCGTGAAATAAAGATGAATGATTTTAACAGGTGACATTTGGTTTTATATCTCAAAGAAGCTTATTTCTTTTATAATTTCTTATTTTAATACCCCCTTGTCTTATGACATTATGTACGAAACATATCAGTTAGTATCGATTTTCAAAAGTAGAAATATTAAAAATACTGTATATGTCTCTAATGGCTCTCTGATTCTTAAGTGATTATGTAAAAACAGCCGAAAACTAAATCCCAGGATGAATAAGGTAAACCAATGGAAATCAAGACGATAATAAGTAGAACAAAATATTGAAAACTTTATAATGGTTATTTGGATAATCAAGGAAAAATATAATTATTCAAGAAATTTCTAGAAATAGCTGTAATTGAAATTTTAATTATCAAAAATTTCTTAAATAATATTTACCATAATATAAAAAGTACAAAACAATATTTGAGATTAAACTAGATTTGCGTTTACAAGTTTACATTGAATGAAATTAATAGCAAACAGACCAGCATCGAAATCGAGCAGCTGAATGCACGCGTGGTGGAAGCCGAGACGAGGCTGAAGACCGAGGTTCAGCGTATAAAGAAGAAGCTGCAGATCCAAATCACCGAGCTCGAATTGTCCTTGGACGTTGCCAACAAAAACAACATTGATTTGCAAAAGACCATCAAGAAACAATCTCTCACTTTGACCGTAATATCGAGATACTTACACGTAATAGTCAATATATCTAAAATAGCGCCCATTATACACATTGAATTATTTTTCAGGAATTGCAAGCTCATTACGACGAAATTCAGCGCCAGTTGCAAGTGACCCTGGACCAACTGGGCATCAGTCAACGTCGTCTCCAATCATTGACGGCCGAGCTCGAAGAAATCCGCGGCAATTACGAATCCGTAAGTAGAGTGATTGATTCGATGTGTTTAACTTGAAAGATATTGATTACGACGAACAAATACTAAATATTATATAAGCGTTACGTAACGGCTGTGTAAAAAGTAGAATTTCGTTGAAAGGCCCTACGCGCGAAGAGGACTGTCGAGCAGCAATACGAGGAATCGGTTAGCCGTATTAACGAGTTAACTACGATCAACGTAAACATCGCTTCGTCGAAGGCTAAACTGGAGCAAGAATATTCTACCTTAGCTGGAGATTACGAAGAAGTCACTAAGGAATTGAGAGTCAGCGATGAGAGATATCAGAGAGTGCAGAATGAACTCAAGCATACCGTCGAAATTCTTCATGAGGAACAGGAGCGTATTGTCAAGATCGAGGCTATCAAGAAGTCGCTGGAGATCGAGGTGAAGAACTTGTCCGTGAGATTGGAAGAGGTTGAGGCCAACGCCATTGTTGGAGGCAAGCGTATCATTAGCAAGCTCGAAGCCAGGGTAAGAAGATAGATGAAACTTTTCTAATTTTTAGTAACATATATTCTACAACCTAAATCATAACTAAAAATTGAATTCTTTTAAATACGTTTTGTTTTACATAATTAAATAAGTACAAAAGTATAATATTATAATAAAATGTCTTTAGTTCTTGTAAACAATATTTCGTGATGTATGAAATAATGTGTTATCAGTGTAATCAGTATTGCGTTAATCTTTATTAAATTTCGTTTTCATAATAATTTTTGTCATCACAGATTCGCGACCTGGAACTTGAGTTGGACGAAGAAAAGCGCCGACATGCCGAGACTGTGAAGATCCTGCGTAAGAAGGAGCGCAACATTAAGGAGGTAATGATTCAAGTTGAAGAGGATTCGAAGAACATCGCCTTGCTGCAGGAATCGCTTGACAAAGCCTCCCAGAAGGTCAGCATTTACAAGAGACAGCTGCAGGAGCAGGAAGGCATGTCCCAACAGAGCGTCACCAGGGTCCGCCGATTCCAAAGAGAGCTCGAGGCCGCGGAGGATCGTGCCGATACGGCGGAGAGCAATTTGACCCTGATCCGCGCCAAACACCGCAGTTTTGTCACCACTTCAACCGTGCCCGGTTCCCAGGTGTACCTCGTCCAGGAGACGAGGCAGGATCTGTAAAATAACCACCGTCACCCTTTACCACTTCGAGCGCCATGTCGTCGTCTTTATGAACGTACGTGTAATACAAAGGCCATAAGTATGATGCATATAGTAATGTAGAACAATTAAATTTTTTTAGTAACTAATAATTAATCATACGATTAAAGCGCCAGACCTTTTAATGTTTGATTCTGATAAAATTAATAGATAACAGATTAAGTTTTCCAGTTATTATTAAATAAGAAGAAAATTTAATGCGGTGCTTAATTTTGACAGGCACATTGAACACCCTACGAAAAAAAAAGAAAAGAAAAGGAGACGCGACATCAATCATCAATAAAGAGGCCGAGAGAGAGTTTTCAACGGGCCGCACGGCATGTTACTTTCGAGGGGTTAAATTGGAGCAACCAGAATACGCGCACCTATAAACGTACGAATATCGATGCCAGTACAGTGTTTACTGTCACGTAACGACCCGTCGTAAATTCGAAATTGCTTGGCCAACGAAATGCGATACATCGCAACGAAACCGTTAAAATGAAAGCAAATTATAATAACACTCATTATCTAATTTAAGAAATTTACTCAAAGCATCAAAAGCGTCAAAATTAAGAATCGATACATCTTTTAACGAATAAATAAATAAAATCTAACGATCTTCTCATCTTAATTACGTGAATGCATATAATTAAACGTAAGGGCAGAGAAAACGGATAAGAAATACAAGAAGAGAACATATTACGCCATTCTATACGCGTAATTGTATTTAAATGGATAATTTTAATTCTATTCTATTACTATATAGATAGGTAACTATTGCCCATATACACAACTCTCACTGTACAACATACACAATAACCTGTGTCAACATTTAATTTAATAAATAAAGTGAAACACGTACGTACGAAAACGTTTGTGTGCTTCATTTTCCATATTTCTGATAAATGTACACTATAATCTTTAGAAATTTTATCAGCAAGACTTATTTTATAATAAAATAATCAACAAACTGATTAGCAAATTATTGATTGACAAAATTTTTTATTATACCACAGTATATAGAGTTATTAAATATATCTATATATAAAGTTATTAATGGTGGACATGCAATGTCTCGAAAAATCACAATCATAAAAATTGAAAACTAGGACAATATGCTGAAAAGGCATAATCTCGAAAGCTTAGAAATGAGACAATGTCCCGAATATACCTATATAATCTTGAAATATAAGAAACATAAGAAATACAATATATATATATATATATATATATATATATATATATATGTATATGTATATGTCAATTGGCTAGTTTAACGACAACCGCCGTTCAATCGTATAGGGTAACTCCAGTGTATACGCCGCACCTAAGGAAAACTTAATTTATTGAGTACTATTTAATATGTTTAAGGCAAATGAATTATACCAATAAAAACTTTATACTGTCTACTAATACTATAAAAAAAATAGAAATATGAATTATTTATTCTTTGTATTTAACAAAAAAAACTTTCAGAGATCCTTGCATTTTTGCCATATATTCCATAGGGGTGGGATAAATGCATGATATTCGTAGGTGGAATAATCGCCTTATAGAAAATTACAAGTAATGTTTATAAATGAGGTAATAAAATGTCGTAATAAGTTATAAAATGTGTGTAAAAAGTTTATTAAGGTGTAAGAATGATAAACAAATTATAAAACTGGAAAAGTTTTAAAAGAAAATAGACGAACGATAGATGCATTAAAGGTTATTGTTATATGATCCAAAAAAGAAGGAAAAACAACACAGGAGATTTTGATTTTTACAGAGTGTTTGTATGGCATAAATCCCGCACGCTAAAAATGCCATATATCCTAAACAGGTGGGGTATACAAGATATCAAGCTAAACAAAGAATACAAGAGCTATGCACTTGCATTTTGTTGCATTCCATCCTTTACTATCCCTTTACACTTATGTATTATGAAAGAATCATTAAACCTTTTACACTCTTTACAGTAATTATTTTGCGTAGGTCGTAATATATCGCGCTACTTACTACATTGAAAAATCGATTCCCCTCACGACGGTTTCGTTAATATTAACAGTAAAAAACTGAAATTACAACACAATACTAATATAGCATAAAGGTACATAACGGAATAATTGCGAGCAAATACCTTCATTCCTTCTATTTTTTCTGACTTCTGCGGCGTAAAACCCCGCGCGGCGTAAATACCGAAGTTACCCTCAAAATTTACCTTATGATCGTGCTCTACTCTATTAGAATTGCTCACTTTTATTATTGGCAATTATTTATTTCCTTTTATTAATTAAACATGTAATATGATAGAAGGTATTAAGAAAGAAAACACACACAATAAAGTACATTAAAGTAAATTTAATTTATTCGAGCTAATTATTTTTTTCGGACCACTATGGCGTTTATTAGTAGGATCCGCTTAGAAGCCAGATTTGTGAAGCCCAGAACGTAGAGTTCCATTTCTAATCTTACATCTCATAAATGCCTTAAATTTATTTCATCAATTTGCTGTTCTTGTTAAATCTTGATCTACACGTTAGGCTTCAATAATCTCGCATTTCCGAATTACAAATCAGGAGTTAATAATTAATAACATTAGGTACGTATATCTATTAACAATATTAAGATCCATCCACACCGCCAGGCACGCTTTATACAGCGGCAGTAATTAATGGTTGATTTAACACACACAAGTCCACCAGTTTTTATTTTATAAATCGTAAAAAACTCGATTCTAGTAACAAATGAGCGTATCGTAAAGAGTCGCGGAACGCGATTGTTGATTCATTTAACGGAAAAATGGGGAAAGAATTTAACTTTATCGGTTTCGATAAAGTCGATTGCTATATTTGCGTCACGAGACACGCGAGATACAATATTGCGATAATTATAAAAAAACGGTAACTCATTGGATCGTCGGTGTTCTCGCATGCTCGTGGCTTCTATTAACGCTATATAGATCGTTTCACTTCGAGAAAAGTAAGCATTTCAGTCTTTCAAATATGTATATACCAAATCAAGAAGCCTTCTAGCAAAATATGCCCGTAGAAAGAGTTGTTGCTCTCCAATTCTTCTTTTCTTTTGTTACAATTATAATTTACGATTTATGTATCTTACCTTTAATACATTTATAGTGCATTATTTCGCAATGTCCGATATCTCACAAACAACTCCGCTCGATATAGATTTTATCCCACGATATATCTTGTATTGAAATTCTCGGGGAGTTGAAACTCTCCGACATAATCTCTTTATTCCTATTACATTACGTGCCACCAACACACTTCGCAAATTTCTTTTATTTCGAGATAAACCTTTAACAGCAACAATCTTCTGCGACACTATATTTTATCGCGATATATTTGAGAGCAGATGAAAAAATAGAGGAGACGCGACATGCCCATTACAAACGTTACGAGTAATCAAAGAGAAAACGGTTACCATTCACCAACTTACCCACCCGCTGTTACGAAAATTACAAGTGCGCATTCTATCCATTATATAAGTTGTCGATAAACATTTACACCATTATATACAGAGTATTATACAATAAAATGGGAAACACAGAGAATAGAGGTTGTGATATAGCAATGATGAAACAATAAACTTATCCTCGATAATAGTATTACTAATAGATATTTCTTCTACGTAACATACTTAAAACAAAAAGAATTGTGTCTACAAGCAATTTAATTTGGAAGCTTCTGTATTCTTTTTTATCTCATAAGTTTTATTTGCACCAAATATATAAACGAAAAATAATAAATTATAATTTAGACAACGATGTAACAACGAAAGAGATAGACAATAAATTATCAAAAGTATGACAAATTTATCTGATATATTTAAAATTTAATTAATAACGTTCAAGCATACTTATCTTGTGATTAAACAAATATTCGACATTCTATATAATACATTCAATACAATTGTAAGAGCTAATCTTTTTAAATGTAAATAACGCTACAAAAGAACAAACAACACGAAAAGTGATAGAACAATAATTAATTACAAACAAAATATCGCAATTATCATTAGAGACTTGCTTAATTATATAAAGGAAAATAAATAGAATAAAAGCTCTTTGTTCGGAGGTCGTATAATTGTTGAAAAATTTGCAATATCTTCTCCAAACCATCCAAACAAATGGAAAATATTTTTGGTTTATAAACCTTTAGCAATCGCTAATTAACTTATTTGTATAATATTTGTATAATATAATGTGTAGTATCATTGATTTAAAAATCGCACTGTTCTGATTAAATCATTACAAATGATCACTCTTGCATTATAAAACTCAGTACAAGTTTTCGATACCCTTTCTTTAACATCGTATCATATAATTTTACTATGGAAAGCAATATTATCTTTCTGTTATAAATATAGAAAGGAAGAGAAAAGTTTCTTCCAGTGATCGTTTATGTGATACAATAAATTAATTACTTATACATAAATATCAAACAAAACAACTTGCATTAATATGTTAACAACTATTGTACTTCACATATCTAATTTTCTTATTTATAAAAAATAAAATAAAATGTGAAGCTAAATTTTATGCAATTGCTACATACAGCAGACAAAATATAAATAGCATAATTAACGTAATCCATAATGATTTCCAAACTTCCTGATTTTCTTCCGACTTAAAATAGAATAATTCTAAAATATATTTAATATATAACTTTCTTAAATAATAACGCCCGATATAAAATATCAGGACAATGCGATTTTCTTCGTTAACAAGTTTTTTTTCTTTCCACCGGTAATCGTTATAAACACTGGTATCATCTAAAGCGTAAAACAAAATAGACGGTATAAATCGCCTTAAAGGTACAAGTTTCTTCCTTCTAGCGGAATCTTAATGCTGGCATAAATGCCGCCTGTGCAACGTTCTTTTCTAATTTATTGTTACTCTTTTGTACAAGTGTGTGGGGAGGCTTAAACGGTACGAAGTGGAAAAAGGGTGCAGAAGATGAAATATTATTTGGCAGTTCGGCATTTGTCAGATATAAGTCAGACTGTTCGACAATTCGACGACCCAGTTGCAATCTCGATGATTCAATTGACATTAAAACGTGTTTCTGGAGTAACGTCGATAACGTCGCCCGGAAATATAGCTGGCAATGGCTATACATATGTATGAGGAAGAAAAATATCTTTTAGTTTCGGTAAATTCAAATCTTGGCTCTCTGTCAAGTTAATATTACAATTTGAATTAATTTATTAACTCTGTTACATTTTGAATGTGCATTTTAGCAAAGTATTATCTGCTAAATATATGTAAACTAAAAAAATTTATTTAGCAGAGATCCTCTATGATATTTAGTCCTTAAAGCATCAGGTTTATAATGTTCATCAAACACTTATTTAATTGAAAATTGCTGTAGTAATGCACAAGAATCGACACCAAAGATATTTTTCCTCGGGAACGAGTGTAACTCGTGGGAATATAACGTACATTATTATCCTGTTTCTCTCTCGTTTTAATTAATACTCGGTCTGGTATTGGCACAGAGAGTTGTACTAGCAGTATGGAAACAGCTGTGGGATAGACATTAGTCGAGCTTGCGACGTGTTACACCGACAGATTTATATGCGTCATGCAATCATCGCAAAGTTTCACCAATGCACAGACTATATAGTTATTTACGTATGATAAATTAATCTATATGCTGTAACAGGAATGTATGAGAGCGAGTAAAAAGACAAAATTGTCGCCTTTTCAAGAAACGACAGTTTGTTAAAACTCGTACGATGTATACGTCGGCAACTATACTTACTTCCAATTTATAGTAAAAACATTCCCTCTGATTACTAATTATAAGACTAAGATGAAGCGTATGTGTAAAGATCAAGAATTTAAAATTTTTCAGGAATAAAAACCCTTTCTTAAAACTTTATATTTATCCTACGGAAAAAAGTTAGAAAGTGTAGAAATATCTAAATAGCTTTAAGACAGCTCAGTCTTATTTCAATTTTTTTCAGTGATAAAAGATCATTAAAAATAATAATTTTGGTAATAAAATATTAAAAGACATTATTAAACAATTGCTTTTTTTAGAAGAAAAGAATAGGATTACAATAGCGATAGAAAACTTCTGATCCAATAATATTTCATTTAAAGTCTGTTTCAATAGAAATTAAATTCAAAACGTTAAAAAATCTGTCTGATCACATTTTGTCAAAAGTAATTTAAAAAGGATTAGATTCTAATTGCAAAATATGTAAAAGACATATAAACGAAACTATTTGAAGTTAATATTAAGACCTCAATTAACTTGAAGGTAAGGGTAGATTTTCAACCTTAATTATGTATTATTTACTAATCAATCGTTAGATTCTCAGTCTTTCAACAGATTGCAATCCGCGACGAGCATGTAACGTCACTCCAGAATAATCGAACAGTATTTATGATTCATGATTTTAGCTTTATCTCATTTACTTCTTTCAAACATTTTCCGAATACTACGAGCTATATAAAATTAATGTTTCGAGATATATTTTGTCTATCTGCAATGCACATTTCTGTTGCATCATATATTGCAGTGCAGGTTGTTCTTATTTATGCGATATATTTACTAATATATTAAACAATTGTGTTTAAAACAGAAAAATTTTCATATATAATGTTCTATTACAATAAGTACATAAAATAAACTTCAAGATGTGTCACGTAAATACATATACACTTTTAACATTAATAAAAATGCTATTAAGTATTTTAATTCAATTATTGACATTGTCAGATTTTAATTCTGAGAAAATTTGTTAAAATATTCTTGCTCCTGTTAAAGAATATAAAACTTATATTTAATAGCATGTCGTTTAAATCAAATTATGTTGGTCACATAAATAAAAAACTATCGGCACTGATCTAAAAAATGAAGGAATATAGGTTCTTTGTTATGAAATTGTGCAACTGGATCGGAACGTTGCGAGCATGTAAAAACGGAAGAGAAAAATTAGTACGATGTTCGATCGACGTCACCGGTAAAAAACAATACAAAAATACGATTATATGTTCAAAGGACCCTCCGTTCTTTCGTTCTATAGTATAATAATAATAATAATTGTAACTTCGCAGACTTTTATGTTGACTATGGATGACGAAGATTCTTATTTTTCTGTTCTCCTGCATTCTATCGCACGCTTTGCTAACTTGCTATCTTTCATTCTGCATAAATCGTCTTTCATATTCCTCTCTCACTTTGTCAAAGAAATATACACTATACACTATTACCGATATAATTCATTATCCGTTAAAGAAAAGAAGAATCTATTTGCGGATAGATAAACAATTTCTCCTGTTCTTCGCCGAGAATTACAATTATGTTTCACGGAGAGACATCCCATACGCATACTCGTCGCATTCTTAGTCTCGCAAAATATCAAAGTTACATACTTACTTCAAGCACTACGATTGCTTTTCAATCCATTGAAATACAGCGTAAAGATGTAAATTTATCTCGAGACTTTACGTTCAAAAATTTACATTAAAGAAGATTTATAAAACGGCATTTTCGATAAACGGATGAGTTTCTTCAATGTTGGTATAATGCAATACAATAGAAATAACCCAGGATATAATAATCCAAAGAGCACTTAGATATAGTTGTGCCAGAAGAAACCAATGTAAAAATACTGTTTCTTCATTTAGTTTCTCTTAAATATGTTATTATCCTCTTATGTACACAATCTTATATTATCTTACATTTATTGTTTAAGCATTATATTTTAACATTAAACTTTTCTTAACATTTCTTTTAGTTCAAACACATGCAGAACATTTATCTGCGGCATTCTTAAAAAGAGAATATTATTAAAAATAAAATAGCAAATAAGACATTGTCTCAAAAATCCACAACTATATTTGTTAATATCGGTTGGTTTCTTCTTGGCTACCTACATCCGCTCATCTGAAACACGTAATCGACCACTCATCTTCGCTGTACTTCGTACTTTTCTTTATTCCACACAAAAATACCCGAAAATATGGATTCTCCAATGAGTCTCTTTTTTTTCCATCAAATTTGTTTTCCACTCTTTCCTCTTCTTCTTGTACCAGTTTTAGTTCAATTCTAGTCTCATTCTCACACGCTTCTCATACTCTCATGTTTCTTTCATGCCACGATACACGCATGCTTTTGAGCTTAATATCCTTCAATTTCAGCCTTCCTGCATTACAAAGGAAACACACTTCGAAAGCTTCGCCGTTCCATTGTGTATCGCGCTCACTTTCCGTATGATTACGCAAAAATATTCGTCTTGAGCAAAACATTCGTATGTATCTACTATACTAAGAGTATACGTATAGGGTCGACAAATAAAACCGGACAATGTACTAAAGTTTCACGACACCTCATGCACGGGAGGGAGGGTCAGCATTCTTCTTAACAGTTCCGTCAGTGAATTTCGTCAGTGAATATGCATAAGCACTCACTAGAGGATTTCTCGTTTCCGACGATAAGATCCACCTTATTCAAATTATCCGCCTCTATTGGACATCGTCAATTGCTGTCAATCGAATGTCCGGTTTTCCTATCTACCCTGTATAAGCATTTTTATCGACAAACTCGGCACTTTTTTCGGAAAAAGAAATCAAAAGACATGCATTTCTTTTATGTAACATGATGTATGGTACTTAGACTCCAAATGTGACTCTAATTTCTGCACGCAAAAATAAAATAGCGAATCTTTACGGTGAATCTTCGGAGATAAAAAATGTGTGGCTTTCTTCGCATATGATCTGCCGACACGTCCAGTCGGAGCTGAATTGATACGTTTAAATCTTGCGCAACATCCCGATTGCTCCCGACGAATCGGCATATTTACGCGAGCACAATGATCGTTTCACTGAGGTAACTTGTTTATAAGATCGTCCAAACAATATATAGTTCGGTTAATCGAATCGATTATTCCAAGAGAGATAACGGGGAGATATATATATATAATATATATATATATATATATATATATATAATATATAATTATATATGTGTGTATATGCGAGTACCGTTACTCATTAGCATTAATCAATAAATGTTGCTATATAATAAATTTGTATATTTTATTATCTTAGTATTATCGTAATAAATATACAGCAGTGTGTTTTTTACGTGTCAGTGTCTGCGTGTGTCGATGTGTGTGGCGCGTAATTGAGCGATCGTTCGATTAACCGAACGCGTATTGCGATTGCCTGTTGACCCATTCAACAGAGTGACCGATCATCAGGCCGCGATATATCGGGACTGAAATAAGGTTTCTTCCTGCAGCTCGAGCGCTACCGATCGTTCGAAACGATCAACAGGCTTAAAAACCCATTCTATTTCTCTGCTCGCGATTCTCCAAAGCGATACCAATTCTATTCATACAGTAATTTACTCGACGGTCTCGCATAAGGAAGAATCTCATAACTCCAGCCAGTCTGTTTCCGATTCTTCTTGACGTATCGGAATATTTCCCCGCCGGAAGCTCTATCGCATCGAATTTCAAGACAGCGACGTTCGCCTATATGAACAAATCGATTTTTTGTAGTTTTTCCATCGAAGAGCTCCGTCAAAAACGCTTAATCTATTTCAGGTCGTCTATAGCGCCGTAATTAGCGAGCGATTTCTTGATCCTGAGTGCGGTTAGCCTGGCGGCGGCATTATGATACCAACATTCCTTCATTACTTTCGACATCACTTGTAGAGCCTAAATAGATATAATAAATTATCAATTAATTCTTAATCTAATTTTATCTTATCACGATATAAAATTATTTTTGTGCAAATAATTTTAATAGGATATAACTTATTACTTTTTATAATTTTAATGGGATATAACTTAGCTAATAATTTAAGTTTTTAATCAATAACTACAATTTTTTAGATTTATATTTTATTTTTCAATCACTACTGACTGATTTCATTAAATTATATACTTATATAATTTTTATATCTCACTCCGTTATATTTCTAAGTCATGTGAAAGTGACAAGCATTGAAAAGACAAACTTGTCAATGACGTCAATAACGTGACAAGAAAAACTTATCAATTAAAGATCATATAAGTATTTTACCTGCAATTCAGTTTTTTAAGCACTTTTGCTGGGTGCGGTTGAATATTTAAATTACTTTTTGCTTTATTTAATACTCACTTCGATCGACTGCCATCGATTCGGTATCGACGGCCGCTGTCGATCAGTGCACACGACTTTCCGCATTTCCTCGATAGTTGGATCGGAAGGCACCAAGTCGTAAAAGGGCAGCTGATACTCGTCATGAATCCCGCCAACATTGCAACGTCTAGCGATCTCCCAGAGGATCAAACCGAGTGCGTACACATCGGCCCTCTTGAACGAGTCGAAGTGGTTCATGTTGATCGTCTCTTCAAGAACCTGAAAGCAGAAAACGTTCATACACGTTGCCGAAGAGCCGCCTTCCTGACCGAATATAAACGATCGCGAATTATCTTCGTTATTTTTATCGTTTAATAATTTATTATCTTTCCATACGTCTTCATCAAAACTCATTTTGTTCTTTCACCTGTTAATAGAAAAATTGTCTATTTAATTAATGCTATGTGTAATACTATTAATATCTTATTTCTTTCAATAAGAAAAAATAAATCGAGTTGAAGTTGAAAGAACACATTAGATCACATTTTATCTAATTTTAAATTTGTCATTAATAAAAATAATTATATAATTGCTACAGCATTTCAGTGGACGCGTTATTATCAACGACATATTGACTACTATTAGTATTATTTGATTAGTTTAATTAATATTTATCAATATTTGTGTTGTGATTAATATTACAATCTTGTTTTATTCTTCCGAAAAATAGGGACTACAGATACTTCTGCTCTTTATGTATAGAACCAGAGAAATCTTTTTCACATGGCAATATAATTACCTCAGGCGCCATGTATCTCTTTGTGCCGACTCTGTTGTTGAGCTGAATGTCGACGGTATCCGTGATTACGTCGTGCCTGGCGGCCAATCCGAGGTCGCCTATGGCGCAGGTACCATTAGTCTTCACGAGGATATTTTTTGACTTCAGGTCCCGATGAGCGATGGCCGGTTTGCCTTGCGTGCCGACTATTTCCATGTGAAGATGCGCCAAGCCAGTGGCGATCGACAAGGCCATCCTTATCATACCGTTCGTGTCGACGGTTGATCTGTTGAGGTAATCGAAGAGCGAACCCTTCTCATGATAGTCCGTTATCAGCCACAGCTGAGTCCACGTGCCGTTATCTGAAAAGAAACCAAATTAGAGATATCCGCCATTCCATCAATTTACAATTTACTTAGAAGATGTAGCTCGATCGCAGGAGCTTTCATAAAACAATGTGCAAGTTAAAATATGTAACGAAAATCGATGAAGAAGGTATTTCAATGTTCCATGTAATCTGAGAGAAGATCATTTAAACGCGCTCGAAACATTTCCAGAAATAAAATGTTTCCAGTCAAATATTCCATCATAATTCTTTCATTTGATCAGTTAAATTAGAATTTAAAATTATGATTTAAATCTAAATCTTCTTGACAATACAAACTAGAACATTACATTTACTTTACAATTACATCTTTTATTTTTTAATTTGTAAAAAAGAAGATCACAATGATTAAAATTCTTTTTTAAATTAATATAAACAAGCATGCACTCTGAAAATGGTGGAAGATAAATGTTGAAGGCTACTTCTAGGCTACTTCTTAAGTATTATTCTCAATTTTGCCAGGATTTTAGATTTAATTACGAATATGAAAAACTACCTTTGTTATCGGCAGCGATAAAACCTAGGATATTGTCATGCCTCAGCATCACCGTCTGATAGATTTCAGCTTCTCTGAACCAGGATCTCTCTTCTCGCGAGCTGAAGATCTTCACGGCAACGTTTTCGCCGCGCCAACGACCGCGCCAGACCTCGCCGAAGCGGCCTTTTCCGATCGTTTCCACCAGCTGAATCTGACGCGCTATACTCCGTTGTACCAGAAGTGGCAGGCCTACTTGAGAGAGGATGGGCATTGGAGAACGTAAATTTCAGTATGATTAAAGATGACTCACCCGTCGCGTGTTTGTGTATCAAGAGACGAATAGATTAACGTGTGCACAAATACACACATAATTTTGTAAAAGAATATATTAGTAAGCAAATCTGAGTTAGCTATTAATTTCGCGCGTTAAGTAATTAAATTTTAACGTATAATCACTCATCCGTATTTTTACACACGTTAATATATTGTATATACATATAATTGGAATATATATAGTTGTATTATTACAAAAATACTTTAATAATTTTTTAAGATTACATAAAATAAATTTATGTAACATTAATGTTTTACATGCAACAACTTGTTACATTTGCTATAATAAAAGACTGTAAAATTAAGGATTACTGAAATACGTAATTCTATAATTTTTAATAATATTATAAGAAAATTAATGTAGTTATTATTGTAAATTGCGTTCTAAATGTTATTGATGAATGTGTCCGAACGACTAATCACATCAGAAACTTTCTATAAAAATTCGAGATAGATTTGCCTTTTTATATCGCTGGTTTCATATGATCAACTTTAATTTAGTTCGACCTACCTGAGCCGCTGCCACTCGTAGTCATCTCCAACATATCCCTGATAGTGACGCCGCCCAGAATTGGTCGGTCCGGAGCCTCCAGCGAGTCGTCCGGAAAGTGCCTAGCCGGCCTCTTTTTGGTCATGTGTACGTGATAGATTGCCATTACGACCACGCATATCGCGCATATTGGTAGTGCTATCGTCAAGGCCATTTTCCAGGTAACCCACGTTGCGTCATCGCCGCTCGACGATACTTTCGGCAAGATATATTCGGTTATTATTCGCACGTAGGAAGCACCGACGGACAAACGCTAATTTCGTCCTTGATGACGCCGTATTGTACATACGTGTTATCGTACAGAGGTACGATATACCAATATCAGAGGTATTCAACCCATAATGCGTGTCGCGGATGAATGCCGGATGATGCGTTATCTCGAAGTTTACGGACAAATTACGTGAATGCAAAAAAAGTCTCTTCAATGCACAGTTGTATTAATTTATTTATTTGTTCTGATACAATTAAATAAAATTATTTTATGACTGTTGATAAACCGGTCTTGAAATTTACATTCACATTCGTGTCAAAGAAAGGTTGAATATCTCTCATCTTGGAAGCGAAAAACTTCGCGAAAGTATACGAATTGGTTAAAATCATTGTAAAGTTGTTGATTTAAAAGCAAGCAAGCACGAGTAAAAATTTTCAGACAAGAAAGCTGTGAGATGTAGATGTTAAAAAAAAAAGAGAAAAGAGAGAAAAGCGGAAACGTGCGAAGACATTTAACAAAACGTTAACGAAATGACTAATGCAAAGCGAGCTCCGTGTTAGCAGCGGTTAAACACATGCAAAAGGGGTTTAACGTAACATGGATAAGATTTCGGACGATTTTTATATGCAGATTAGTTTGGTGACCAGGAGCTTGATTTATGGCTGAACCTCTGACAAGTCACGAGACTGAAAGAAAAACGTCCTAAGAACCTCTTCGAAAATTGGATGATCAACGTACGACTGCGTCTCGATTATTTGCTGGGTTTTATATTTTTACGATCTTTCAAGAGACAGATATTAATAGTGCGAACTGTTTTTTGTCGTAGTTTCTATCTTTATGCCGGGATGATACTACTTTTTTCATTGAATCAATGATCATTCTAGTGTTAAACCCGTGGTAATTCTTTTGTTCTACGTAATATGCAAGGTAAGCTCACATCATGGTATAGATTATAAATAGATTCCTCTAACATCTCGAGACGTCTGTAGCACGTTAAGCATATAATTTGACTTACCTGCGAGTAACAGTATTGAAGAGCATCAAGGTATATCTTTCGTGTCACACGAATGCTATTAATCAATTATTGAAATTCATCACACAAATGTTAAGTAAAAATGGTATTAAGCAGTGTCTAAAACAATCCAGTTGTTATAAAATATTTAACAAAAACTATTTATTAAAAAATAACTTGTTTATTTCAGCTCACGTTAATTCGATAATCCTCAATTTTTCATCTTCGCAACAAAATAAATTGCGACAGCTACCCGGAAAATAATTAGTTTATGATCAAATATATTTTCAAACATACAAAAATGTAAATCACAGGTTGATTATATTTTAATATTTATATTTTCACTTATATAATAGATATAAAGTTAATAATTTTGAATGAAAAAATATTTAACATAACATATCAAAACCGAATTACGAAGAAATCCGAATTACGAAGAAATAATTAAATCGTACAAATTAATATCTAATTTTTTAAATAATTGCTGTGAATCGAAATATTACTTTGCAGACGTATAAGGATTTGTAAAAGAGAGTTATGACAAAACTGGATATATGTATATATAAAACCAAACAACTATCCAACCCATCGTGGAATGAAACAACCGCGAAATTCAATTCGCAGGATTTTCGCATGAGCCATATGTGTAGGTATTGGATAGGACGAATCGCGATATAATTGGATATTGATCCCTGTGAAGATTTCAATGAGATGACAGGCAACACGGCGAGAAACGATTCACTGATGAATGATCGCACAGCCAACGATGAGTCTCCCAATAACAATGAGAGGTAATACGAGAATGTGCACCTTGCCAACATTAACAAAAGGATATTGTTCGTACAAATACGTCACTTAAACAATAATTAATGTTTATAGGTTTCTGTTTCGTCACATAATATTTTTGCTTATAATGCATAGAAATGTGTGATATCGTAATTTTCACATTTTCAATGTTACAGAAAGAAACTAGACGTTTTCCTAAATATTTGTTCCTTCCTAAGATATTAGTATTTAATATAACATATTTTCTCTTTTTAGTCATATAACAATACAACTATTTTTATACTATTTATTATCTCGTCATATAAGTCTCATATAATCTCATAACATATAAATCTCATCAGTATGACTAATAAATTAAGGAATTGTCAAATTTGATTTATTATCGTTTCCAATATCTTTTTAGTATTTATAAAAATACACGAGAAACACATGAGAATCAAGAACATTTGTTAACTGGAGCTATCGTTTTTTTTTATATTTATATTTACTCAATCTTTGCAACTCATTTTTATTATTAGAAAAGAAAAATATTCCTTAATAAAATTCCTTAATAAAATAAACTCGAGAATGTCAAACATGCAGAGTTCTGCAGAACTAATGGATATGATACGTTTCAATATTGACAACGATGTAAACTAGTGGCTCAATACGAAAATATCTTCCGTGTGCTGCCAGTAAATCCTTGTCGGACGGTCTAATTAAACCGCCACGTGAATGTCGAATTCCATAAGCGAGTACGTAACGAGCACACATCTCGGGCTAATATCAAATCCCTGCTACGAGAGTATCCACCGATAACTGGCCACCGTCCTCGCGGATTTATTGGAGCGCGTATAATCGATGAATATCACTTCCAGTCCCATCATCCCTTTGTCCAAATCGTGTTGTGCACGCCTCGTTACTTTATATTCCCGAGGTGAAGTCATTCCATTCGCGCTTGGCAAATTGCACCCTCGTCCTCAACGTACGTTTCTACTCGCAGTTAAAATCCATGATATATAGATATCATACATTTTCCACACAGTTCTATGATTATAGGTAGGTCGCTAATAATTTAAATTAAAAATACAGTACAAATAAACGACTAAATAATCCACTCATTAATTACTGTTGATTATTCAACCATTTTATTACTAAAGTTTATTATTTACGATACTTTATAGTGTTTCTCTTATTTATCATTATACATAAAAAACATAAATACGGATGTCTAAATCTATTTTTAAACATATTAAGATAAGATATGAAGAATACGAGCTTAGTTTATTATATGATATATCAAACTGCTATCTCAAGCTACATATTTGTTGCAATTTCTTACCAACTTGTCCTGTTGTAAACATACGTACAATAAGTAATTGTTAATAACTCTACTCTTTTGTAAAGATGGATCACCAATTGATTAACTATTTCAAAAAGTTTTCATTCGGTTTATGAGTTATTAACGTCATATAAACATTCCAATATAATCAACTAGATACAATCTTTCCTGAAATAGGAAATTCGATTTATCAGATTCGAGTCTGTAATTAGAACAACTTTATATCGTGTATATCGGATATTTGAATGTTACTAATATTGGTAAAAATTTTACAAGCTCTTCTTCCCGTAAAATATTACTCGCGTGAAGTCGATTATTGTCAATAACACAAAAATATGCTTTTGTTAAACTTATTTAATTCTAAAGAGCAACTATGCATTTGTTATTCCTATAATTTATTTAGATATAAATCTTTTAATGAACTAAATGTCATACACATTTATTTCGTAATATATTTGATTTAAAATACACGATTTTGCAAAAATTACAACTGCGTATGTTAACACGATACCGGAAAGGGTATGTTCTAGGGTTAACATACTCTCACAGTTACATATGAAATAACAGACTGTGGAGAATATATGTCCTCGGTTTTTTTTATCAAATTTTCTCCACGTTGCAAAATTCACCGGTATGTATATATGTATACATATAGACAGACCCGTATTATCTTATCTGCACGTAACGTACACAGCACGTTATCTGCATCCCCTCTTTATTACAAACAAGAGATGTACGAGTAGAAAACTACGATATATTACGATATATGAGTGCACAATTCAATGATGTCAAAATACATTTGAAATCTAGTAGAAAGTGATTTTTATAACTTACGGTCAAAACTTACGGACACTTTTACAAGTGTCAATAAATAATAAAACATTTAACTTAATAATAAAAAAATAATTAAGTTTAATTTAAAATTAATTGCTTGACAGTTATTTTTATTTAACAATAAAATGTTAAAAGTTTAACGCAATATTATAAATATGAATAAGTACTGAGTTTAAAATAATTGTAAAATAAAACATTATAAAATATTGTACATTATATACGCTTACATAATCTTTTTAAACGCTCTAAAGATAATGTGCGTATTGCGTAATTCATATACATCTCGCATTATGTAACGAAACAGCAACGCTATTCTGCAGTAGCAACAAAATATCGATTTTTTCGATAAAAAGTCGTTTAAAAGCTAAAAAACATGACGAACGTTATCAGGATAGAGAGAACTGTCGTTCGATGGTAGCCATTCTGTCCGTTCCTTGTCTTGTCAGCTTGGCACAAGCAAGATAAATGACGCGAGAACGTGAAACATGGGGGAACACAGGGGAGAGAGTGGTGTGAAAAGTGCGCGCCCAGACAATTCACAAAAGCGTAGAAAATCGATAATCGATACCCCGCTTTTCTCATCGTTGTCGCACGCGTGCCTTACCAAGGTTGCTATATCAGAAAAGTCCTTTTCTCGCTGATTCATGATCCACGAAATGGAAAGCTGAAGCGCCATGAAACAATGACGCGGATTTATGTTTATGGCAGAGCAAATTCATATATTTTGAATTAAAATTAAGAGATTGAAAAACTAGAAAATTGTAAAAGCAGTGAAACAACATAATACAAAATTAAGTATTTTGTTTTGTATAATTATGTATATTATGTAAAATGAGTGATGTATAAAAAATAATGAACGATAGATTCAAATATTTAGAACATATAAATCCGCCATTGTTTTCAAGCGCTATTGACATAAATTAAAGCCTAAAAAAAATTCGCAGATTGCATTAATTGTCAGGATTCAATAGTTTATTTAAATTTTTTTTTCGCTTTCTGAGAACTTATAGCCTTATTGCTATAAGTTCTCG